TTAGTTGAACTAATATTATACTATGTAATGAGGGTTGAGCGCTTTTGTCTGAGACACAGGTTCTATAACCTAGTTCAGACAAAGATGTTTAAACTGATCCAAATGTACAAATACTTTCGTGCCTACTTTTACTGTAATTTCCAGTGCTGAGTTTGTTACAATCATGGTTGTGCAATAAAGTTATTATTATGTACAATTGAGTTTGTCAAGTAATTTTTGACGCATTAACTCGGCTAAATGCCATGGAATTTCACGTGCACGTAGTACTTGGGATGGAAGACATAGGTTACACTTTCGTCTATATATATATATATATATATATATATATATATATATATATATATATATATATATATATATATATATATATATATATATACGAGTGCATAAAAAGTAATATATGTCTTCCATCCCAAGTACTACGTGCACGTGAAATTCCATATCCATTCATTATATATATATATATATATATATATATATATATATATATATATATATATATATATATATATATATATATATATATATATATATATATGCATCATGAGGTTATAAAGATTAATTAATTTCCATTAAGGATTGTCCTCTATGTGAAACCTCCATTGTCTTCTACATGAAATATCCTATTGCAAATTACATACATATTCATTAATCATAAATTTATATAGTTATGTACATGATAAAATATATGAGTAGTGAAGATAAAATTAGTCTCTGTAATATATAAAAAATTTCATATAAAAAAATACATAAAACTAGAAATTATATAAGCAGTGTAAAATTTTGCTTTCAGTTAAAATCCACTCATCGTTTCTTATTTTTTTCTCTTTAGTTGTAACTAAAAAAACATCTTGCAATGTATAAAAACTCTTTTCAATTAAAAATTTAAATTAAATATATATTCATACATATTCGTACATAATTTTGTTACACAACATTCTAAAATATTTAATACCCATAATTAAATTTTATTTTGATCCTTTAAGGCGCGAATTATGAAACTGTCAAACCTCCCTTATTTGGCAAATAAAATAAATAAATAAATAAATCAGTAAACTTATAGAACTAAAGGCGACATCACACCGAACAGCAGATGTAGCGACGCTCAACACATGCTGGCGATAAATTTGCGAAATTTTAAGCACAACACTATTGTTGATTTATATTATTTATTATAAAGAAAAAAATGTAAAACCAATATATTTTTTAACAATAGGAATTTATACAAACAATGACGTTCCCTTAAATATAGATACTTCAAAACTTTTATTGTGCACGACGCATCTTTTAAGTTATAAAGTCAATCTTTTAAATATAAATGAAAATAAAGGTTTAATCTTAGATCAGGAATGGCAACGCATGGGGGTATCATGGGAGAAACAGTATACTCTGTTATGTCCATGGTACTGCTCATGTCTATAGGCGCCGGTTACCACTTTCCATCAGGTGGACGGTCAGTTTTTTTGCTATTCTAAGTTGCATAAAAAATAATTAATTTAAGAAGTTATTTCTCGTAACATATTATTCCAATTACAGTTTTTTCAACTAATTTTTTATTATAAGCGATATTTTACAACAATTTAAAACAAAATTTATTGTACTTAAATTACTATGAAGTAGCTTTTTGCTCGCGTAAATTTCAGAAGTAAGAGAAATCAATGAAATAAACTTACATCTAGATGACGTATCAATATAAAACTTAAACCAGTTTTCAAGTTAAGACATTCAGGAATACCACTGTAAAAACCTTATCCAATTTTGTGCAGTCATTTTTGCGTAGTACCAAAATGAACATACAGAGAGACGAAATTGTTAAACATTTAATTAAAAAAATAATTAAGATAAGTCCTTAACTTGTGTATTATATCTTTTTTATGTATAAAATGTACAAAAGTATGTACAATAAATATTTTGCAATACAATACAATTTCATATCTGCCATGGACAGACGTCTTTGAGTGACAGTTTTGTTATATTAGTAATCACTTTGTATAAATCAGTATGTTGATAGGTAAAATCTTTGGACGCACCCTCACATCCTACAGCCTAAATGGTCGCGTACAACGCGGTTTCAGAGATCTTTTCTCCCACGAACACTTAGGTTATGGAATGAGCTACATGCCGAGGTTTTCCCAAGAGACTACAGCGTGGGGTTCTTCAAAAGGGGGGTAAAGAGGTTTCTTCAGGGTAGGCAACGCGCACGTAATGCCCTTGGTATTGCAGGCGTTCATATGTTACAGTAACTGATTACCATCAGGTAGGCCATACGCTTGTTTGCCACCACAGTGGTATAAAAAAATCTTTAAACGTCTAACTTTTGGTGTTTAGTTTCATGATAGGGATTCTAAAACGAATCATATTTGCAATGTCATTGACAGTTTTCTATGGTTATCTGTAAAATTATAGAATATAATAGAAAGATTTTTTTAAATCACTGATTTTTTTACAATTCTACTGCTGAGTTTATTTGCTGAGAAAAAATCAGCAAGAAACTCAACTGAACTAACGAAACTCAACTGAACTAACGAAACTCAACTCAAAATAAATAATTATTAGGTGATTGGTAAAATAATTAAATATATAATTTTGCATTTGCATTTTTTTTATACAACTTCGAATGATAAACAAGCTGACGGCCCACTTGATGGAAAGTGGTAACCGTCGCCTATAGACATGAGCAGTACCATTGACATAACAGAGTATACTGTTTCGCCCATGATACCCCCATGCGTTGCCATTCCTGAGGACTCATGTATTATTCCTCTGTACCCTGTAAATTCACGCCATATCCCACCCTTCAAACCGAAACACAGCCATGCAAACACAACTGCTTCACGGAAAACATCAACATATTGGTATTAAATCTCAATCGCCTTTGTACATTTGATTACATCTGTCATATTTTTATATATTATTAGCATGTACAATAAAGTATAAATAAATAAAATAAATCCATGGGTGCGATAATTTAATTATTTCTCCGTTTTCATCTTCATTCAATTTTATTGAAACTGTACAGATACATTTTACCGGATTTACAGGGTACAGAGGAATAACACGTGAGTCCTCAGGAATGGCAACGCATGAGGGGTATCATGGGCGAAACAGTATACTCTGTTATGTCCATGGTACTGCTCATGTCTATAGGCGACGGTTACCACTTTCCATTAGGTGGGCCGTCAGCTTGTATGCCATTCTAAGTTGTATAAAAAAAAATAAAGAATAACGTCATGTCGTATACGGAGATCAAGAATACGGCCCGGGATGGACGGTAGCAATAGGATGCACGAACTAGTTACAAGCAAGTGAAAATGCTTAAATTATAAAAAAGCGACAACCACTTAGCATGGGGCAGGCCGCGTGCTTGTTCACCACTTTCTTCTTTTCATTTAAGAGTTTCCTCCTGTCGGTGTAACTAATTCATGCATCTTCCTCCAGCCAGCTCTATCCCAGGCCATATCCTTTATCTCCCTATACGACATGACGCCTAGTGTTTCTTTTATCTGTCCCATGTAGTTAATCCTCGGTCTTCCTCTTCCTCTTTTGCCTTCTATCTTTCCTTCTACTATGTTCTTAAAAAAATCGTCATGTCGTATAAGGTGGCCCAGCATTTGGCCTCTTCTATTCTTTATTATCCACCTAAGTGGTATAAATATGTCGTCTGAATTTTTTGATCCTATTATGAATCATTGTGAATAACCATTATAAACCGAAGCCTTTTGGTTGAACCTTCAAAAATTGAAGGCATTTTATTATTATTACCTATGTATATCTAAGATATCACCATATTAGCTATGAAGCTCCGACTGCCATTTTGTTTTGCCATTTTTGCAAAATGGAGTTACATGGAAGTTTGTGGAACTTCTGGTAGTAATGTTGGTGGTCGATCTTCGAGTGTTGGCAGTCACATACATACTAATGGTAGCGAAATTAAACGAAACAATTTTGAACAAACAACTAAAGACTTAGGTATCGATCGAATTTAATTCAAATTTGTTCAACCGTTTAAACAAGATAAGTAACATTTATACAAACATATTTATAAACTTTTATATATGTAAAATTACATACAATTTTAATTTTGTAATAGCAATGTAAGAGTACTCAAATGTGTAAATATATAAAACTACAAAATAAAAAAAATAAAACATAAAAAACCATTACTGCAACACACTAAATATGAATAGATAATAATAAAATAATTAAATATGTAAATGGGATTCAATTTCCAAAATGCATGGTGCAATGTTTATGCGCCGTCCCTGTCTGTCGCCCCGCCCCCACCCCCCCCCCCCGGCCCGCGTCGCGCGGCGCACACGGGCACCGGTGCGAGCGTGCAGTGTGCACGCTGCTTTATAAAACTAAAAATGGCGGCTAGCGAAACTTTAGACCGCAAGTTTTTTAAGAAATAAATTTGAAAAAAATCCATTTGATATTTTTTTCTCTGTCCATATAAGTGCAGTTATTCGAAAGAGATTGTTATGCACGACAGATAAGAACCTAATTAAAAATATAATAAAATGAAATACCAATGACCATACGGTCTTAGATGAACCTTAGAACTCAGTTAATTTTTAATTTAAAAAGTAGATTTTATTTATATAATAAATTACAACATTAATTGCCTGTTACCCTTTTGCATTACGACTCTGACAATCGAGCATACGGCCAACCGGGTGGTTAAATAAGCAAACCTACTATGTTAGTAAGTGAGCCAACGAAATTTCAAAGCATGTCGGAACAGCGTGCCGGCGTACGCTACCGACGCCCGCCGTCGCCGGAACATCACTGAATTCGGAATTCGGAACAACACGAAACTTCGGGCCCACACGCGGACAACTTGTAAACACAACATAAAACAGTTTAAACACAAAAACAATTAACATAACACGAACGTGACACTCCAAAACAAACACAAATTACAGATGGCCGTTTTAAAAACGTTATGCAACTAGTGCTGTGTACACCTTTTGTTCGTGCAACTATAAAATAATTCTCACCTCCTTTTCCAATGAATATTCTATGACTTGACAGACTGTGAACACGATCCACCTGTCACCATGGGCACCTAAACAAGCAATGCCACTCCGGAGCTGCCCAACTATCCTTTGTTTTCCGAACTTTATTTGTTTTCTACATACGTGAAACGAATTCCTTGGCACGTCAAACACTTAGTGCGGTGTCGTCGAACCTCATTCCAATCCATCAATAGGTAAATTAAACAGATCAACTGTATTTGTACAGATGGGCGACGGAGCCGGGGCAAATATGATGAGCGGAGCACTTCGCGGGGAGTACGTGTCGTGTCACTGCACTGAACTGGCACGGAGTTTAACGGAACACTAGATCATTTGGCACTCGCACGGGATACCGGCGGTTGTAGCGTTTAGCGACGAGCGTGTCGCGGTATGTAAACACGTCGCGGAGCGCGAGGGAGCGGCCCCGAGCGACGCAATGCGGTCAGGTCGCGCGCCGCGGCCGGAATGGTTGGGCGCGCGGCGAGGCGGGCGACGGCAGCGCCGCGCGGCGCCCCGCCGAACTAGCCGCACTCAATCACACGTCGCCGTGATAAGGTGCACTCTGCGTTGCAACGCCATTGCTCCGATGCACTCAAACATTATTATGACTACGTTATTAGTGAGATATTTTTAATCGTTTTCATTTGTATTTATATTACGTTGAGCAATCAGTGGGTTTGACAGTATCTCCTGTAATCTGAAATTGTATTACTTTTTTTTTTATGTAATTTTTTCGTTTTATGCCATTTTTGAACGCCAGCTGTTTTTCAGTGAATAATTTAATAAACAAATATAATCTATAATCTTTGTGTATTTTCTAAAAAATAATTACATTTACATTACCCATAATGAGGACTAATAAGAATAATTATTTAAAAAACAAAAAACAAATTAAAAATTAAATGGGTGACATCACTAAGGGCATAGAGTGTCGGTGGGTAGATGTCGCGAGGCGGTGGCGGTCGGCGGCTCGTGACCTTGCATCGGACGGCTTGCAGCGCGGGCGGCGCGCGCTCCGTCCGCGGCCGTCCGGCGGCGGCGTCACGCGCGGGGGGCGGCGGCGCGGCGCGGGGGCGACGGCTCGAGGAGGGCGGGGCCTGTGGCGCCGCCCCCTCGCCCCGCCCACCGCTACACCCGCTTTTTACCTTTTTCCCGCGTAACTCACTTTCATCCCGTCTATTGCCATACGTATCTATGTTTGTTTTGCAAATTGTGCACTGTATTGATGTTAATTTGTATGCTATTTTTTTTTTAAGAAAAAAACTTATACTTTATCGATACGTATTCGTTTCCTTTATAGGAAATTTAATTGTATATTTTATTTTAGATTCCTAATATTTAACTTTATTTACCATGATTTAAGTGTGTTTTTGTTTTAAATACATAAAAGTGTAGGTACAAAATTAAGAAATTGAACATTTTTAACAATTGTTGGCACAATTAGTGATTAATGTACAAAAAAAATATAATCTAACATTTATATACCTGCACACCTTATTAAATATTAATAACAACAAATTAAAATTACAGGATTGTAAATTTTTTTTTATTTTACTCCCATTCCATCCCATCCCATTTTACCATTTACCTACTTATTTTTTTTTATTTATAATTAATTAAATGTATACCTTTTTATATACTCAGAATTAACTCAGTAATTAGCCTACATACCTGCCTAAATTCAAAATTAATCTATAGGTATTTTTAGACATAATTTTATTATTTTTTTTTATATTAAATTAATATTAAAAGACGGTCTAAATTACCTATTTAGGTACATTACACTAATCCTTATTTTTATTCCTATCTGGTACAATAAAATGTATTTTTTTTATTATATTTTTAAACAAAACAGGACAATTAATAGAACAAATAAACAAATATTTAAATAAATAATATTAAAATAATAATAACAGATTGTTGTAATCACAATAACACAGCAACAGAAATATCACTGATTATTCTGTCTTTACTATATTATATTTATTATTTATTTATTATATTTATTAAATTTATTAAATATATATTTATTAAATATTTATTATATTTATTTTTTTTTTGTTACAACACAGGGGGCAAACGAGCATGCGGCTCACCTGATGGTAAGTGACTACCGCCGCCCATTATCACCCACAACACCAACGGCATTGCAGGTGTGCTGCCGGCCTTTTAAAAAGGAATATACTCTTTTCTTGAAGGTTATGTTGTCGTATTTTATATTATATTGTAAATGTGCAAGTGTGTTTGTTTGTTTGTCACCTTATAGCCCCTCAACGGCTTATTCGATTATAATTAAATTTGCTATACACATATAGTATGCATGTATGCATATGCGTCGTATGCATGCGACGAAGAAGGATATAGTCTACTTTTTATCTTGGTCAGCAAACTTATCCTAGTATTCTATTTCAAGTGTATTCATCACGATGGGCTAACTGACCTGCCTTGGGGGGAAAGGGATTGTTAGTAATGGAGACTGAGAATCCCATTGCTAGCAATATACCCAACCAGGTCGACCTCCTCGCGGTTCTCCCTGGAAACTATCATGGTTAATTCCTGATGAATTCATCATGATGGGCTAACTGGCCTGTTTTCATTCTCATCTATCACCCTTCACTGGTGCCCCGCCAGCGTATCCCGTTAGCACAGGTGGAATTACCATACCATTTTCACCTATCAAAAAAAAAAGACTGATAGTTCGCAGTACTAACAATCCCTTCCCCCCATTTTAAGGGTAACCAATGAATAAAAGAAAGCGGGGTGTATTTTTTATGCAATTCAAATTAGCACACAAGCTAACAATCTAGCTTTTGGAAAGTGGTATCTGCCGTCTCTCCAAGGACATCACTGAATACATTGCGCTATATATGGTATTCGTACACTCGTTGCCATTCTTGACAATTTAGGTGCTATATTATACCAGAGGGAGACTTTGTACAAAAGTCGTTTGCTTGGGTACCTCTGTACCATTCGTGTTTCTACCGTGAAGCAGTTGTGTTTGCATGGCTGTGTTTCGGTTTGAAGGGTGGGATAAAATTACAGGCTACAGAGGAATAACAACTGAGTCCTCAGGAATGGCAACGTATGGAGAGTATCATGGGCGAAACAGTATACTCTGTTATGTCCATGGTACTGCTCATGTCTATAGGCGACGGTTACCACTTTCCATCAGGTGGGCCGTCAGCTTGTTTGCCATTCTATGATGTATAAAAAAAAATTACCTCACGACAGAAAATGCTAACGATTGTTATACAAAATTTATTTTTTGTATCAAAACAAAGAAGGACCTATCCATATACATAAAAGAATACCAAAGACTCTCTCTCTAACTACCATTTATTGATATGTATCAATAAAAAAAAAAATCTCAAATAATACGCCAAACGGTGGTACATCAAGCAGCTGCATATCCGTCCCAAATGACAGTGATCAGATTAGGTCAGGGACCGGGTTATTGCTGGGTTCACCTTGGCTCCACGTCGCAGCTAATCTTGACTTGTATTAATTGAAACAATAATTGCGGAATTATTTTTTAAATTTTAAGATATTGTTCATTAACATATCTTTTATTTGTTTTTATTTATTTACTCTTTATTGCATTATAAAACTTTGTACAAGTGGCGAGCTTAATGCCGTATAGCATTCTCTGTCAGTTAACCATTAGGTAAAAACAGAAAGCGTATGAAGGGCATATGTGGTGAGAAATATGTGACATAATTATAGTAACATACTGAAATAATTATACATAATAATACATAAGAAATACACATTTAACACATAAATACTACTTATATTTCTCATTTATAATACCTACAGCAGTGGATAAATATAATAAAACATACGTTTAGGAAAAAAAATATTCGAAATTTAGGTAAAAATAAAAAATACCATCTGGCAACCCTGACCTCGTCTAGCTACATATGGGTAGATATATTTATCTAATAAGACAATGCTTCATCTTTCAAATCACTAAGCACCATTCTCAGATGTAGAGAATAGAAATAGGGAATAGTGATTCAGAAGCGACTCCAACGAAATGACTCTCCAATATTCACATATCGTCACAGTCGTAGAATACTGACGGATCTGACAAATAATACATATAAAAATCCGTCAGTATTCTACGACTATGACGATATATTAGATAAACGAAACGACCTACGAACAATAGATATATTTATTTATTTATGCTTTTGCACACATTAGAAAATATGTACAGGGCGGACTTAATGCCCGATGGCATTCTCTACCAGTCAACCGTTACGCTAAACAGAGAGAGCAAATAGAGGTGCATAGATTAAAAAAATAATTGTAAATTAAATAAATATATTGAAAAGTAACAATTTATGATAAATAAACATACATACATATAGAATAATATACTTACAAAAAATATACACACATAAATCACATACATATATAAATAAATTTGAGACATAGCTAAAACTGACATTGCTGAAATTTCATTATTACCTAAACTATTTATTAATTAATTTTACAATATGAATATAAATAATTATAAACTACAGAATATGTTAAATAACCATATAATACTAATAACAATTACGATATGAATAGATACACACCAATACTTAAATAATAAATAATAATAATAAGAAAATACGTACCTATCGTGATACAATTTCAATGACTGGATAATATTGTAACAGATCCTTAGACTATTTCTAATGTGAAAAAAAGTGTTGTCCTCCTCTCTCGTACTCGCTGTGCCCAACAGGGTCCATAATTGAAATGTTATCTACTAATTATATTATGGAATGCAATTAAAAATAAATAAATAAAATAAAGAAACTATATATTAAATTAATAAATATATATTGTGTTGTGTATATTTTTAATGATTTCATATTACAATGAATTGACATGAATAGATACAAAAAGTGACAAATTATTATTGTAATTTATTGTAATATATTTATTTATTGTAATATAATTGTACTTTATTGTAATATAATTGTATTGTAAATGTTTATGTTATTATGATAAAATTATTTTAATGTTTTGTTTAATAAGTTTTTATATTTGCACGCCTACAGTGTGGCGGAATAAGATTGGACTATTTTTCTTGTAAAGTAACACCTAAAAATGTACCTTATTCCAGCAAATAAATGATAAAATATTAAAAAAAATATTAAATATATCATAACTAATTATATATAACAGATTGAGGCTTTTCATTGTTGTGATAGATCGAAGTAATGTTTACAAAGGGACTTGTATCTACATAGACAGATAAGCAAAAAGGCCAACTTATCCGAAAGCCAGGGGAACATTATAGAATCATTTTAGAGTCACTATTAAAAACTAAGTAATTTTTTTTTATACAACTTAGAATGGCAAACAAGCTGACGGCCCACATGATGGAAAGTGGCAACCGTCGCCTATAGACACGAGCAGTACCATAGACATAACAGAGTATACTGTTTCACCTATGATACCCCCCATGCGTTGCC